GCGGCGGGTGGGCAAAGGCTGTGGGAGAGGGCAGGTCACGCTGTGGGTCTGCGGCATACTGCTGGCCGCTGCCCAGCGTGGCCAGGCTGGTCAGGGCATCGGCGGCGTCGAAGGGGGCCGTTGGGGTGAAGATGGCGGCAGACTCGCGTCGATCGGTGAGTGCGGGCTGCTCGTGGTTGAGCAGGTCGTTGATGCTGATCATGGTGGTGGTGGTGGTGGTGCCGGCGCGGGTAGAGTAGGTGGGCTAGGTGGTGCGGGAACAAGGCCTCATGGCGCAGAAAGTCACAGAGTCACAGAGAGAAGGGCAAGGCGACGCAGAGGCCAGGACGGAGGGAGCTGAAGAATGGACTACTTTTAGTCTGCTTTCGCGAGCCGGCGGCGGTTGGTGTGCAAAATGGAGCCGTTTCAATCACTCAGCTTGGCGCGCAGAAGGCGGGTGGCAGGTGGGCTGGTGGGCGGGCAGGCAAAGCGCAGCATTGTAGCAGCGAGCGATGGCAATAGCAGTACAGTGGCAGCAGCAGCCATTGCGCCTGCCGCCACCACCACCATCGCCGCCACCGCCGCCGCCGCCTTCTTGTACTCAGATACCATCTACTACCCATCATAGAGTACTGTACCCATCACCACCACCACCACCACCACCACCACCACCATTACCTGTGCTGTACAATACCTACCATCACCCACCCCAATGGCAAGGGGCCGATGATGCAAGTTTCTTGAATCCTCCCGTGCACGTGTGTGGAGCTCGGGACGGCTGCCAGGCGCCGTTGCCTCGACTGTTCGCTATCCGATTGGCAGCTCCTGTACCGATCAAGCCCCCCTCGACCGACTATCGATGCGACCTGACCTGAATACCTAGGAGTATACAGTACAAACGGTACGGTTCAGCAGAGTATTGACATGCACAACTGCGCCCTCCCCCGCCCTCCCCCTGATCTACTAGGCTATTACGGTATCCCCTCAAGTTGGTCCACATTGCTCTACATCACCCCATCTTCCATCCTCCATCAATCGTCCTCGTTTCTTGGCCGTCCTCGCTTTCGACCTGTTGCTTGCGACGACCCTGCCACCACTGCAGCCTCCAGCGCCGCCCCACTGCCATTGTACGCTTCTGCCACATCCAGCGTCCGTTGTATGCGCTTCTCGAGTTCCTCTGCATCCTCGCTCGCGCCGTACATGACCCTGATAAGGCACGCGACGCCCTCCCTGCCCACCTCGACCTTGCCTCGAGGGCCCACAATGTAATCGATCGTTTCATCTTGGCCAGGCGCTGCTTCCTTTACTTTGACAATATACCCGTCCTTGACCATGGCGGCCAGCGTTTTGTCCTTGTTGCCAATCGGTGTGCTTTGGTCTGCATTCTTCCTCCTGGAGCGCGCGGTCGAGCTTTCCTTCCGGCATGATGCCGCCAGAGATGGTAATCAGGGCAATGACCATAGTGTATAAGCCAACATAGGAATCCTCTCTGTTAAGAGTACCCTCTTCCAGCGGTTGTGAAGGGCCGATGATCTCTGGGATCCGGTACTCCTCAGGCAGGATGGATTGCAGCACCCACATACTGCTCGACTTGCTTTGCGACTCTGACGCTGATGCAGCTGATGTCATATTAGCATACATTTCATGTGTGGTCCAGAAGATATTAACGTTACCGCGCTTTTGTCGCATGGTGACTCTGTCAGCCTTGGGCAGCTCTATCATTTGCATACCAAAGACCTCCATGAGATCGGTGTTTGCCTGCTGAAACACTTCTTTGAACAGGCGAGTATGCGATCCCAATACTACTACCCATCAGTATATAGAGTTGAGCCGGGTTGGTTTTGAGTGGAGTATTCACCTTTCTCGTTTATATCTTGACGCTTGATCGGTTTGCGGGAGTATTCGCAAGCAAGCGCATAGCGCACCAAGCTCTTGGACAATTGCTGAAGACTGCCACTTCCGCCCTCGCGTTCGCCCTCAGCCATGTCCCCGTCTACATCGTCATCGGATGATTCGTCTGGTCGTCTGTTGCGCTGTGTGTCTCGCTGCGTGGGCATGACTTCCTCCTCGAATTGTGTCTGTCGTCGACCCGGCTCTTGGGGCCATTTGGTGCAGTGAGTCGGCAATAATCGAGTAGTGGGAGTGAGAGTGATATGTAGAAGTATAAGTGGAGAAATGCACCCTTGCAAAGATGTAAAGAGACGCACCCTCCAAGACACAGGAGACATGCCACATGAACGCGTTGACGCGCCGGCCGTCCAATTGCGCTAGTCGGCCCGTCTTCCCACTTTGACATCATTGCTCAAACCGCAGTCCATTTCCCGTCTCCATCTCCACTCTTCTCCGTAAACCGTCTCCCTCTGCCTCTCCCTCTCCACCCCCACACCTTTCTCCCCGAGGCCCCCCCTTCATGCGCCCGCCATGAGCTCCGTCCGACTAGCCGCACGACGGCCAATCTTCCGCTGCCTCAACACACCGTCTGCGCCCTGCCGTTCCAGTCCGCCAGTGCGACAAGCCAGTCGATATGCCAAAGAAGACATTGAAGCCGTATTGAGGAACATTCGGCCAAAAGGCCCCCGCAGAGACGATGACATGGTCTCGGTGCACCGCGCTGAACAGATTCGTCGTGCCAAAGCAATACGCAAACGGAATTGGCTTGCGCTCGGTGCTGCCCTGTCAATGATTGCACCCATCTTCCTGGTTAGATTGTGGGATGTGCCACTTGAGCCCAAGGACGGAGCTTCAAAAGAGCAAAACAGTCGCGGAGCAGTAGACATGATCTTGGGCCCGCCCACTAAGACCGATGCACCCCGCAAGATCGTAGACGAATGGCAAGGCAAAAAGGTTGTCATCGCTGCCGGAGACAAAGTGATCGCCGCACCAGCAACCAGCGAGAATCCACAAGCCTCAGATCCAGACGCCATTGAGCTCGTAGAGACAGGCACATCCTACGTCCCCTACTTCCCGCGCACCATCCGTCTTCCCGCTGACACAGCGGGACCCGAGAACATCGCCAGCGATGCAGAATACCAACTGCTCGGCCTCGGTATCCGAAAGGTCTCGTTCTTGAGAGTGCAGGTCTACGTGGTTGGACTCTACGTAAAGACAGCAGACATGTCCAAACTCCAAAATCATCTCATCAACACTGTCAACCCCACCGCCTCTGCCCTCATTCCTGGTGAAAAAGACGAACTCCGCTCCGCCCTCCTTGACCCCGAAAAGAGTACGCAGATCTGGGAATCTGTCCTGGATAAAAAAGGTGCAGACGCAATCGACATGGCATTCCGCGTCGTACCCTGCCGTGGCACAGACTTCAAGCACCTACAGGACGGATGGATGCGCGGTATTGCCTCGCGTACCGACGAAGTCAGGCGGAAACAAGCCGAACTCTTGCGTCAACAGGCTACAGAAAATAAAGCCATTGCCCTACCTAAGCCCGTCGAGGAGAGCGAATTCTCCGACGAATCCTTTGGCCTCGCCATGAAGGACTTCAAAAATCTCTTCCATGGCAAGGGCAAGGCGCCCAAGGGTAGCGTCATCATTCTCACACGGAGTAAGAGTGGTGCGCTGGGTGCGTTGTATCAGCCCCTTGTCAAGGGCGAGCAAGCGGAGAAGATGGGCAAGTCCGCTTGGCTGGGCGAGGTGAAGGATGAGAGGGTCAGCAGGCTGGTCTGGTTGTTGTATCTTGCGGGTGGAACTGTGAGCTCGGAGGATGCGAGGAAGAGTATTGTCAATGGCTGCATTGGGATTACTGAGCGCCCCGTTGGTACGGTGGAGACCATGGTGCAGTAATATCTGTTCTGCCAAGTTTGACTTTTTTTTTCCTAAAAATTTATTTGCTCTCTGTGCAAATATTGTTGAATACTAAGATGCGAATCTATGCAGAACTTTGTATACCTGGCAGTCGTTTTTCGAACCTAGTATCATTCCTTATTCACAGACACACGAGAAAACAAGAAGAGGGATCATGTGCAATGATTAAAAAACCTCCGAATAGGAATTGTGCTTCTGTTCCGTGTAGTAAAGTTTTCACCTTTTCTTAGTTTCTTAGGCTGGGTGGGTGACGTCATACATATATATCTCCTCTTTGTACTTTTTTTTCTCAAGATGCAAACAGCCCTACTGGCTACCTCTCACTCTCTTGCATTTCTCAAAGACTACGCTACGGTTCTTTGCATCTGAGCTAGGGTCGTTGGAAACCACAGCACCAGGACGGGGGATTCAAGGGGGGTCGAGGTATTTGAGGGGGAAAGGCATACGATTGGGCTAGGTACCGGTGTGCACACGCTTTTTGATTATGATTTATCTCTCCAGGGCTGCAGCCATCAGTGAGAGGCTCTAGAAGTCATTCTCTCGCCTCGCATGCTCTACATTGTCCACTGTCCATTCATATGTTACTGTCTTTTGGGCCCAGTCTATCTCCCTCCTATTCGCATGAGCCAATCTATGATAGTAGCATTATCTTTTATCCGTCATATTGTTCGCTGGGTTCAGATCGTTGTGTACAAGTTCCGAGTCATGCATATGACGAACACATGCTTCTATTTCACACAGAAGCCGGTGCACTTGGGCTTGTTCGCAAAGTTCCACAGCAACCTGCGCAGCGGATACTGAGAAAAGATATCATTCAATAGAGGCAGGAGGGTAAGTACTTCACAAGTCCGGTTGTGGAAGATTTATGCTTTTTAGCTAAGCCAAAGGTCCAGCAGAGGTCTTTGATAATGGATACGGGTGACGAGGAAGGACAAGTGTATGTGTTTTACACACCCGAGAGGTTAACGTACCGCCTAACTGGTAGACAGGCAGGGTCACGTGACATGCTTAGTTGCCCTAGTTTTGCCCATGTAATTGCTTAAAGCTTAGTTGCTTTAAGCTTAGTTGCTTAGGTTGCTTAGGTTGCTTAGAAGCTGCGAAGTAGTTTGCACCAGGCTACCTCATTGGCCATGTCTTCCCCAAAGTCCTTTCCTCGACTTTCCGGCTGTTTGCGGCAAGTCCACCTCTGAGCCTTCCTTCACTGGGTTTGTCCAACTCAGCGTTCTCACGTTCCGACATCCCAATTTCCAGTATACACATCCAAATAAGCATACACCACTCCATTCATACATACTTCACCACTAAGCCAAGACACCATGACCAAGATTTGGGGACTCGATCTCCGCGAGATTCAGTGGGCCAAGTTCAAAAACAGCTACATGTGGAACAAGGACTACCATATGCGACGTACGAAATTCATCATCTACCAACTCGCCATGATACCTACAGTTGTGAGCGAGAGCCTAGGCACTGCCGCTTTGAGTGGTAATTCAACCCCTCTCACTCTCTACAGATTCTTCATAAACTCATTCCTTACCTGCCTCTTCATCTCTCCTCCCCCAGAATGATTGAAAATACGCAAGCAAAGCAACTAAATCACTCCACCAGACTACAACCACCAGCAAAACTACGTCTCGCGCAACCCAGGCGCCACAGTCCACAACAACAACTTCATAGCTATAGCCTCGTACAACATCTTCGTCGGCATCTATGTCGCCACAATCTTCGGCTCCGCTTTCTTCTTCGACCTCTTTTGGCCCGAGCGGCACCAATCCTCCGCTGTGAAACTGGCGTGGAAGCTTTGCTCGGTGTTGGCATGTCTATTCACGCTGTCCTGCGCACTGGTGTATACGTATATTGTTGCCACGCAGCGCGCGTATATTTCCGGTCCTAATAGGGTGGAGAGCGAGCGGTTGTTGAAAGAGTATAATGGGAGTCCGTTGCGGTATGCCGATAATGGACGGGCAGTGGCCAGCGTGGTGTTGCTGTGGGTAGGCATGGTGTTTACATTTGCAAGGTAAGTAATCCACAATTTCCTTTTCATTTTCTCTATACTATACTAAAGTAGCTTGCTAACCTTTGAGTAGTACATATCTCCTCTGGCACTCGCTTGCACACATTGATGCCCATGGACCCAAATCAAGACATGCGTGCCGGTCAAGCGATGATGTTGGGAGCGAGGTTGATCAGGAGAAGCCGGTGGTTCATGATAGCAGTGGTTTTGAAACTACTGCAACGACGGTTACGCCGACGGGACATCCGGATGAGAAGCCTGCTGCGGGTGTCTAGGGCTCAATCGGATAGGTGCATACCAATCTGTTTGATCTCACCTATGTGTTCCAGACGATAGTAGAACTTGCATAGCACAGCAGGAACGGCAGCATCCTACCTCTTTAGACTGTGAGACTTAGCAAGTGCGACTGTCATCCTTCTCGATTAAACTCTTCGGTTGCTATATACATCAGTACCAATACAAGCAAGCTCACAGTTTCACTTTGAATCCACATTACATTTGTTGCCAAATGCAACTTCCTCTCACGCCTTTTCTAACTCAGAACTGGAGCCCAACTCCCCACGTACAAAGCTAATTGCACAGGATACTCATATGCAAAGGTGTGGCGGTCTTAGACACAATAACTGCAGTAAAGTAAAGCGGGTGGGCATGTAGTATCATGGCTCAAATGTATCATATACATATCATGCCATGAATCCTACTCAGCCTTCACGCCCCGAGTCCACAGGCCCATCATACCCAGATGCTTACTTCTGCTACCCCATGGACGTTCATCCATGGCACATAGTCCTTTCCACCGATTATTGCGGACACGTCAACTTAAGATACGACTACATAGTGGGTATGTGTACAGCCATAATCCCTCGAGTTTTCCGCACATAGCCATAGCACGGGAGTTGAAGTATAAACGCATTCGATGAGTATCTATGGTATGCATGTACCGGTAGATCTAGATACTTCATGATCACGTCACATGGTCCTACGGACACTAATCACCATGTGCGCGTCTTTCATTACGGCGTCCATCTCACACGTAGGGGGTCGAGATTTCAGCATGTTTTGGTTAGTCGTGGTAGATTGAGGCGTGCATTTCTTCCCGTGATGGCAGTCACAACTCGGAAGCACACGCTGTTGATCCGGTATCTGTGTGGGGACTCTGCTATGCGCTGGGGTAATGGTACTTGAATGCATGTAACAGGTCCAGGCGAGGACATGGGACCGTGTGGGTAAAGGGTTGTAAGTCTACTTTTTGTCGTGTGTTTTGCCGTGGTAGTCAAGTCTACCATTGGTAGATGAGTGCCATGAGGTCATAATTACACGGCCGGATATCATCATGATGTGAGCTTTTTTTAGGAGGGGTGTTGGGTATTGTGACCCGCGCGAGTCTGTGACTCCTACTTATTCTATCCTTGGTCATCTGGGACGTGGGTTCTGGCGAATGACGGTTGAGATCTAATTGCTGACGTGGGATGATTGGGTGGGCATGGCGAGGTAGTTGATGGTTGGTTTCATGTCAAGACGGAGATGTCGTATCGAAGGATTCACGACATGTGTCTATAGTAGGTTGACGATCGGATGGTACTCTATGGTATGGGGGTGCTAGAGGTAGTCGAAGCGATGCGGGTGTTGTGCCGGCGGGGATAGTACGTAGGTTGTGAGATAGTATACGGCGAGATGGGGTTGCGCATGTAGAGTGCTGATGTATGTTACCAGGTTTGAGATATAGCATGGAAGCGATGATGATATATATAGCGCGACTTAATCTACCGTCTACTGTATCTGAAGTCCTTTCCCATCATCGGGGTGCTGGAATCGAATTGATGGCTGGGATGTACTGTGTGATGATGACGACAACAACTGAGTCTGCAACTGGAAAGTGAACCCTCAAGCATACTGATACCATAGAACCCTGGGGCAAACCAAGGACGGTTGATAGATATTGCACACGATAAGCCATCATCTCAGCCCCCATCCCACCCCACAGCACGCGAATTCCTCACCTACATACGTCAAACATACCACCCACCATCCACACCCTCGGCTCCAGCCCCCACTTTCACCACCCCCCAGCAAAGAACCAGCCCAATCCTCATACCCACCCACCCGGCTACCCAAACAACATCAACCGGGCAGATAATTCCAAGCGAACGGGTTCAAGGAACCCGACCCGTGTCTCGTTCGGCTAACAGCATCCTACCTATGTACCTATTCGAGCTGCAACTCCGTACCGGTACCGTTCCAACACGGCTCGGCTAACCATCTCGATATGACCAACAGAGGGTCGCCGGAGCTCGTGTGCCGCACGCGAAGGTAGGCATCAAGGACGTTGCGAGATGCATGCACATGGCGGTACCATACATGGGGAACGAACCTAGATGGGCATGGCATGCTGCCTTATTGTGAAGTGGTGGCTTACACTGTGCAATGCACGTCATGATTCCACCTCTTATGTTCCGCGGGGGTCGCAGCTTGTGATTGCATGAGATGGGAACTACATACCCAAGCAACATGTGAAGCGAACGCTTCAAGGGTTCTGCATGCACATTTGTGGTGTTTGGCACGTGCAGTCATGTGCAGTCATGTGATCATGGGGTTGAGGAAGCAGAGATCTACACTCTGATTTGACTGTACATCAACGGGTTGGGTAGTCTCGGTGTAAATCAAAGCCTATATATTCTCGCTGCAAAGTGAAATGTACGACTGACTAGTTCTCATTTTGCTATCTGAGGGGTATCATGTACCTGTGGCATTGATGGTATGTACTACTCTAAGAACATGGTACTCTACAAACTATCCATTCTCAGCACACCAAGCCATTTTGCCTTGCCCTACCTATCCACTTGGCGATAATTAACCCTACATAGTACCTAAATCCCACACCCTTCCTCGTCCACCACCACCATGCCCCAAATTCCCCAAGCGCAACAATCACCTCCTCTCGCATTACGTCGCCACAACACTCCCGATTGCCCTCTGCCACGGCGCCAACACCTGCATCCAGTCTCACCCCCCAAGCCGGCCCGACCCCCTGGTCTAACCGTCAAAAAACGTCTCTAGCAGCCGTATAATAGAGTACCTCCCGCCGCTTTAATGTAACCACGGTTAGATTTCAAGGGGGGAAAGACAGGGTGGAGAAAAGGGAACAATTTCCCTCTTCTAGAAGCCCACCTGTTCCGTCATTGGTTTCTTCTCTCCTCCTTCTAGAAACCCGCTTGTTCGTCATTGCGCAGGGTGATGACAATCTCAAATGTGAAACCGTAGGGTGTGCTGCTGGAACTGCATGTACGGACCATGGTACGCTTGTTTCTCGCGTAGGCCGGTAGGGGCCCGAGACGGCATGTAACTAAAGATGTAACTAAAGAAAGTAGTGTGCAGATTCTATGTATAGCTAGCAAACACAGCAGCAGTAGCAGCAGCAGCTGAAAGCGTAAATGACGCCTCGTTTTGCCCTGTAATCTGCACACTACAAACACTACCGCGCACAGCCAAACAATTGTCAGTGACAACAGGCCTGACTCGCTCAGACGTGTCGTTTCCAGCCTCTGCTTTTCTTATTCCCGTTGCTCAAACGTCCCGTCCACAACCCCATGTGGAAAGTCCCCCAGCCCCCAACATCCTCGCGAAAACAGAAAAATAAAATAGCAAAACCAAAACTCACAACGGCTGGTTCGCCCCATCTGCCCAGCGGGCCCTGGCGCACATTTAACCGACCTTGTAATCCAGCCACAGGCCTTCCCACCACCTTCTCATCACAATGACCATGTTACAGTGCCAAAACCTCGTGAAACCCAAAAAGCCACATACAAAACCACCCGAATTACAATCACACAACCCCCAAAACCCCAAAACTCAAACCCATCTCCTCCCCGCCACCCGTCAACACGAAAAAAAAAAATCCCCCCCCTCCGCCCCAAGCCACTCATCTCGCGTAGACCCCGGCTAATACTTGACGCATTCCCCGCGACCAGCAAAATAAATAAACAAATAAACAGTCGGCCGAAAGGGACTTACACAAGTCCTATACAACCCTCCGAAAGACCTACGAGGACAAGGGAGATCAGCCAACCAGTTTAGGCATTACTATACCTACACCACCTATAACGCATTACACCCAACCCCCACACCCCTTGGAAACCTGTACCGTATGCGGTAAAGGGCTAGCGTTGCGGCGCAACCCAACCCGCTCCAAGAGAGAGAGAGAGAGAGAGAGAGAGAGAGAGTCCAGACCGGCTAACCCAGTCGGAGCAACAGCACCACTACCAGCGCAAACCCACGCAAAACAAACAAACAAACAAACAGCCACTCTAGGGCGGCCATGATATACCGTCCTCGTACTGTGCGCACAATAGACCTGTAGTGTTGAAAGATGCAGATGTGCAGTGCATGGCAGACTACAGACTGCGATTTCCACGATATGTGTGTGTGACCAGGAAATGAAGATATGCGCTCCTAACCCGCCATCGTCCCCGTACTGCCCTGTACGAAATCCAGGTTTTGTTTCCTCGATATATGCGTAAGATATGTACTTGGATTGTACCTGTAGAGCCCGAATCAGACACCTACATACCCATATGTACAATACATACTGCGCCTGCACCGATGTACGAGTCGTGCAATCAAATTAAAATGAAAACAAAACTGGTTCGGATATTTCTCATGTCGGGTGGGCGAGGGGGGCGGGGTACCCACATTTAAGGCTGAAGAAGGGGAAGGATATGAGGCCGAAAGAATTTCTAGAAGAACGGTAGGGAAAAAAAAGGGGGGGGAGGAGGGGGAGTCCGGGCACGGGTGGGTGGGTGGGCTGGCGGGCTGGCGGGCTGGGCTTTTCTTTTGCTTATCATATGTCAGTGCGCAGTGTGCGCACACGCTCGCTCACTGCATTGAGAAGGGGGTGTTAATGTTTTGCATGAGATGGGTATTGGTTTTCAGGGACAAGGATTACGGGGGCAGTGAGATGATTACGCGGTCGTCGAGGTGTTGCTGCTGATTCTCTAAACCTGGACACGGCGGCTGAAGTTCTCCTAGGCCTTTGGCATCGCCGCTAGAGGGTCAAGATATCGTATGTATCGGGATCGGGAAGGCGAGGGAAGGAGATGGAGCTTATGCAGGATGCAGAAATGTGTATTTTCGATCTAAGTTGTGGGTGATTCTGAGAATGGTGTCGACTGCACCGTGATCGCGCTCGCTATTCCACCTCGTCCTCTTGAGGCACGCCCTGCCATGGTCACAACTGTGGCCAAATGTTCAAACGACACGCCTGTCTGCCATGACCCTGACGATGGATCCTGGGCCAGCTATCTCGACGAGCTGCATGTAGATTAGCATGACGAGTTAAGAACAGCAATTCGGTGGCTGAGCGTCGCTTGGCCACGAGAAGCACCGAGTAGTATTAGTAAGAATCGCAGGTCGTACCTTTTCATGCCAGCTGAGCAACACACTCATGGCCTGGCCACCACCCTCTCCTCCACCGCGAGTATGAATCTGTGAGAAACCGGTTGGCTGAGGTGTGATGTGGCGTGTGCCGCTACCTTCGGTTGCGTGTGCCATGCCTTTGTAACTAGAAGCAATAAAGAATTAGCTAAGAAGGAACAGTGTGCAGGCGTCAAGGAGAATTCGAATGAAGGAATCCGCTCGTGGCCCATTTGCAGGCCTTCATTCTGCCAATGCTGGCCTGAATGCAGTCATGCGAAGAGGAGAACGTACATGTACTTCATCAGTACGTCCAATGCCTCTGTGCCACCCGGAGCGCCATATAGCCGGCTGAGTATCGGTGACATGTCTGACTGGCGAATGGACTGTAATATTTCTATGACGATGGCGAGATAAGCTTCCTAAAGACGGTAAGACATGTCAGCCTTGTCTCCCATTGCAGATTGTTGTGTGATGGGCGAAGAAGGACCCTGGTCATCGGTAACCCAAGTCCAGATGCGCGGTTGCAGAGGTGGCCACAGGTCGTCCGAATGCGGAGAGACAATCGACCATAGCGTGTCACTGCTACGGGCGAAAGCCAGCAACGGTGTGCATTGAGAGGTGGTGGTGGTCAGGTGGTAAGGCCGCAACGTACCTTGCCCTTCTCATCTCCTCCGTAGGGGGGGTTTTCCAGGGCGCTCTGCAGAGCTCCCTCGTTGTCTCCGCCTCTCAGCAGCTGCCGTATTTGCTGGGCGGTGTTCTGGACATCGGCAGTGGATATGGGTGTGACGGCGGGTGTGAGGGAGCTTAGGTCGAAGTTGGCGGGGCTGTCTGGGTCCAGGGCATCGATATTAATGGTTCTCCAGTTGATGTTGGCCATGGCGGAAGCTGTACGCTTTCGTAACGCAGGTCGACAAGCAGGAGTCGGCCTGAAGCAAGTGGTGGTGGTGGTGGTGGTGGTAGGAGTAGTAGTGGTGGTAGTGGCGGAGGCGTTGGTGGTCGGCGCAGAGTGGAGCTGCGGTGAGGTTGCAATTCGGGACGCCGCATCATGGGGTGCAGGGCAGGCAGGCGGCTCCACCCTGTGCCAAGTCGTGGCTTCCCAACTCAGACGCAGCGACGTCTTGTGAATCCATCAGCGGTAGTACACATTAGCTTCGGGAGTCAACACGGCCAGGCAGACAGTCACAGATCGGACCCAGCATCTACGTTGTAATAACACTAACTGCACAGCTCCATCGATCTTCCCGAGCGGGTCATCCGAGGCGCCACAGGTGCGACGGGGGAGTCGACGAGGCACCATGGGAACGGTCAAGACAAGACATCACACTGAGCAGCACGCGTTGTCCATGCATCGTCAAAAAGAAATCCAAAGTGTGTAGATTGGAATTAGTCTAAACTGCCAGACATGTCGCGAGACATGATTTTGAGGCTCAGGCGCTCTGTCTAGCTGTTCATACATGGCCGTCCGCTGAATAACAAATCGTCGTCGAGTCTGTCGTGAACCTGGTGCGATTCAACCCAGCCCGCCGAGCTAATATACAAATGATCCAAGCCAATATGTGCCAATGAAGGCTGGCCGTGGAACTCTACCCAGATATGCGGTTGGTGAAGAAAAAAAAAGAGAGTCCGTTTTGGTATCTATGCCCGAGCCCATCCTAATCTATAAAACGCCGATTGAGAAAAAATAACTTTTTGCCGTAAGGAGATGCTTCGCTGAACGTGGGACGCAAGGGGAGCAAGGCTTGAGACGCTCGATGACGCAGGAGAAAAACCGGAAAAAGCGAGGGTATTACGCAGGTGAGAAACGAAATAGTCGCTGGGTATTAAAGGCGTTATCGCAGGAAGTAGTTGGATGGAGGAAGGAAGTGTTGCGCCGGTAAGGAGGAATGGTGGCCAGTGGTGAGTGGTGAGTTGGGAGTGTGGTGTGCGGGAAATAGTGGGGAGAGCTGCAGTCACGGGTTCGTTAGTCCAGGGTGGATGACATGACTAGAGCTCGGCTGAACCTACGTTGCGTGGGACAGTATCCCTCTGATACTCAACGAAACACCAAGCTCATAACTCGCCATTTCGCGGTCGTGAGCAGGCAGTAGCGCAGGGCGAGGAAAGCCATGGTTCGTTGAGGTGATGGGCAGCTGTCCTTATTTGGGTGGAGGTGGGGGTGGCTTGGGTGTACCCGTGGTATCATAAGCACCGCGGCCCATGTTGTTGGACTCTGATTCTCTGAGGATCATGTTGTTGATGGGCTCGTTGACTATCTTATATGTCAGCTGATGAGTCGCACAATACAGTCAGGCATGGACAAGGGCAACGCCACAGGCAGACTCACAAGTTGATTGAGACGTTGTGTCAGCGGGAAGCTGAGGAGGGCCGGTACAAGTGGCCCAAGAGAGAAGGTAAGGCGGAAGCGA